AGTTTTCCCTCTCATTTTCTTTCAAAATTTTATTTTACATGGGTGGTTGCAAACATCTGCTTGAGGAAAGTAAAATTTGAAGATGAACGAAATGTCCTTCGATTGGAGCATCAGAGCTTCCTTCGATTGGAACATCAGAGTTTCCTTCGAATCGAGCATCAAAGCTTCCTTCGATTGGAACATCAGAACTTCCTTCAATTGGAGCATCAGAGCTTCCTACGATTGGAGCATCAGAGCTTCCTTCGATTGGAGCATCAGAGCTTCCTTCTATTGGAGCATTAGAGCTTCCTTCGATTGGAGCATCAGAGCTTCCTTCAATTGGAGCATCAGAGCTTCCTTCGATTGGAGCACCAGAGCTTCCTTCAATTGGAGCATCAGAGCTTCCTTCGATTAGAGCATCAGAGTTTTCTTCGATTGGCATACCAAGGCAGAGTATCCTTCGAATGGCATATTAGTGTAGAGATATCTTAATCTAAAATATTCTGATAAGGGAAGTTATGAATACTTCAAATCAGAACTCAGAACCATCAAAGGGAACAAGGGCTGGTGAAGGGGCTTTGGAGAGGAAAACTTTGAATATTTTCAAATTCGAACAAGGCGCCAAGTTGACCTGTCCATATTCACTCAGAATTCCAAAATGACATGATATATCTCAAAATGGCAATCTTTCAATTTGCCTGATTCTGTTTTCAATACCATGTTTAATGGTTGGCCTTTAATGCCATGATCCTTTCCCCATTTCCTTGTCTCCCTCACCTCCTATAAATACAAGACATATACTGTATCACATGATACATTTTTTTTGCACACGAAGAGATCACACTGCCACATTGCTCAAAGAAATCCCAAAAGTGTCCCAATTGAAGCACTTTTTTGCAGGCACCTTCAGCCCAAACGAAGATCATATTCTTGTTCCTAAGACATCCAGGAGTCCACACCAGCTCCTAAGCAAGTGTCTCCACGCCCAGGAGTATCAAATTGAAGCATCTAAAAACTTCAGTCCACACACAAGTTCCAGTTTCAAGCAAGGTAAGTCCTCTTGACCTTGCATCTTTCGTTTCAGCATAACATGTAAACAGCCTTTATTTATTTTCTTCGTTTCTGTATTTTTGGTTTGTTTTTTTTCTTGTCCAAATATATGTTAGAACTAACCTGTACAGACTAAAATGAAATACGAAAAGGGTGTGAACGAAAGACCTACACTCATGCTGCTCTACAGGTCTATATTGCTTCATAGGCCAATCGAAGGAAGCAGAAAAGGTTGCAATTGAAGATTGCTCACACCAACTCCCCAAACTCAATTGAAAGGAAGCAAAATAAGGGTGAATCAAAGGAGTCTACTGCCTGGGTCGAAAGGCAGCTTCCCCTCTGAATCGAAAATCCCCATTTTCTCCCTGATCGAAGGATGCCCCTTTGTATTCTTATTTGGCTTTTGTTCTTTTTCTATTTGACTTTTTTATCATTTAAATTAACTTTAAATCAAAAATCACAAAAAACATTAGGTTAGTGTTTTATTAGTCAAATTAATTTTGTAAACAAAATTAATTAATTAAATTTTAACTACTTTCTTAATTTAAAATGAATTAGAATGTCGGCTTTAATTTATGTTTCAAACGCTTTCTTAAATAAAAAATGTAAAAAATATTAAAATTAGTTTAATTTCATTCAATATTTATTTTCTTGCATTAAATTTAGAATAATTATTTTCTTAACAAAAACAACAAAGAGAATTTTATTTAATAGTTCCTAGGTTTTTTAGATGTAATATTTATTTGACCGCGCGTTATTTTTTTCTTGCATTTTTACATAAATATTGTAACTGATTATGGCTGTAATAGTTTTAGATTTAAAATTGCGCATTTTATTTCTTGCACTCTTTTTTATGTAACTTTCCCAAAGCATTGTAATAGTGTAGGTTTTATAATTTCCCCGCATTTTACATTTTTCTATATAATATTATTGTTAGTAACTAGACGTGCATGGTAAGACTAGGAAACTAAAAACGTTAGCTAACCTAACAAAAAGATAAAAATAACTGAATCTCAACACACTTGCACATGATCACCCCTAGGGTATCTCCCACTTCGGTTGCCTTCACAAAACAGTCATGTCCCTCAAAACAGGGACACTTTAGAAAATATCCGTAAATCAAAAATATCATAGTCCTTCGATGACCCTACAATTGCCTTTCGGTAAATGATCTAGCCCCTAAACAAAATTGCTAAAGTGTCTCTACATGTTGCCTTTATGACTGTAAACGTCCCTTCGATTATCCCTCAAACATCCAACGATAGGGCTACCTACTCACTAATAGTAGGATAACACTGTCTAAAGAAAAGAGGAAAAGAATGACCCTTTTCGAGTATAAAAGTAGATAGTTGTTAGAAGTTTGCTCAAAACATTTTGCACTTACACAAATACTAACTTTTCAAAAACAACTTTCAAAAACATTTACTTTGTCAACACTCTTGAGGACTGATACAAGAGTTAACGCAAAGCAAATCGCCGCACTAAGACATTCTCAAAAAAATTTCAAACACACAAAGAACAAAGGTATTTTAAAATGAGCAAACTTCTAAGAGCCCGTAGAAAACTACAGATGGAAAGGGTGCTAACACCTTCCCTTTCCATAATCTACCCCCCATTACTCAGAAAACTCTCGAAAAAGGTATTTTCTGTTCTTTTCACCCTTTCCTTTGTTGGATAAAAGAAAATTCGGTGGTGACACTTGCTTACCGCACATTTGCGAATACAAAACACAAAGCAGTATTAAACAGTCGGTTCTGCCACCGTATCACAGAACTGGAGACTCTGCCGGGGACACTTATAAAGTGGGGTTATCTTAGAGCTTAGTTCATCTTTAATATGCTTTACATTGTATGTTTTGTTTGCTTTATCTTTGAGGGTTACTTGGGTTATTGTTACAGA